CTGGGAGCCTGATATCAGAGAGCCAAATGAACACCTTGCTGCTAGAGGAATGGAGTTCTTGAACTGGTAAGTGCTTGTTTGTCAGAAAATACAAAAATTGATTTTAATGATCTTCAGATGTTTGTGTCCACATTTGAGTTTTATGACAACTCTGAATGAACAAGAAAAAGCATAGTTCAGTAATTCAACTACCTGAGAGTAGTTTCACTAATGCTGTTAACATTCAGTAATGTTATGCCTAGGTTAGTATGGAGTTTAAAGGTTTTCTGAAACCAGCTATCGATGCTGGTCAAAGCTTGCTTTTTTGAATTTCTTGGTCACATGCTTCTCTGCTTTTTCCTTTCTTTGGCTTCTTGATGTCATATATTTAAGCTGGGAGCATTTCATTTTGTTAAACAATTTCTCTTGAATAAGATGATAGTAATTTTCTCTCCAATAAGGCTTTCGGAAAATTGATTTATTGGAAGTGTTGCTGGTCAAGGTTCCAGATGCAGATTCCAGCGTCTTGTTGCCATCATAGTTTTCCCCTTTCTAATTTATGGTGATGCTGATACAGGTTGTGGACACGTAAGGAGAAAGAGATTGCAATTGTTACACATAGTGGATTCTTGATACATACACTCAGTGCATTTGGTAATGATTGCCATCCAGATGTGAAGAATGAGATATGTAGACCGTAAGTTCTCAACTCATTGGTGAACTGATATGCTGGAAATTGGTTTGATCACATTCTAACTTGTTGGATTACCAACAAATAAGCTTTTACATCATAGATTGCCTGATCGAACTCTAGACTACAACTGCCTAAAGACGACAAAAATTGGAAAATAGTGAACTTGACTGCAGTTTTAGATCTCTGATCTGCCTTATGCGTCCAGATGTAAAAAGGCAACCTTTCTACTAAATATGATATCTCTGTCTCACAGGGACATTTAATAAGTCATTGAATGTGGTAGCTTATCAATGTTATCTTACGGACTATGCGGGTTTGTCTTAATATTCATGCTGCTCATTCATTTCCTGCCTGTAGCTTAATACTAATCAGTATCATGCCCCCTGTCCACTTATCCCTCTCCTGCCACGTTGTCTTGGGAGAAGTTGGCAGAAAACATTCATATATTTCTTTGTTTGTTTTGAATTTCCCTAAAATAAGTGTCAACTGTTTTTTTCGGCTTGGTAAAATAGCTGAAAGGTGTATTTCTTTTCATGAAGGTTTGTTGTTTCAGCTTGGTAGGATATCTAAAATTTATCTTGCAGTTGACCTCTTCAGTTTGAGATGCAGAACACTGTTTCAGCATTTTCATTGTACGAATTACACTCAAGGTGGAAACCTTTTGATCTTTTGATGTCCTCGTATGTAATTTGCAGATTCAAGAACTGTGAACTGCGGTCCATGGTTATTGTTGACAGAAGGTTTGTGTTTCTGAAAACTATTGAACCAATCTATCTCCATATTTTTGGATTGCTGACTGACTTTGCCACTCTGCAGCATGATAGGGTCAGATTCTTCAACAACTGATTATCCAGGAAAAATTCCAAGTGGAGTAGATGTCCCAAGTGACGTTACATGTATTAATCATCCAGATGGATTTTCAAACTGATCTAAAGCAGCGGCAATCAAAAGTGGTGGTGTTTGGGTTGCTTTTACGATTCTTTCAAGTAATATTGAATTATTATCTCATTTGGAGCTGGCACTTTTTGGCCGACTCAGAATTTATTATTCTTGAAGAAAGTCGACCGAGCCAAACTCAGTTTACAAGTATCAACAAGTATTTTGTCGGTCTTTTTAACATGACCGCCCAAAACCATTTGCAAATAAATTTGCACCTATTCTAATTGGCCATAGTTATCTAAGGACGGCAAGAAGAGATCTGCTTCACCGTACTTCAGTACGATGACCACATTAAAAATAGCTTGGTTTAGTTGAGACTTTGGTTAGTTGACAAGCTTGTGGTGGCTTTATCTTGTTTTTTATGTTAACTTTTTTTTCTTTGTTCAGCAATGAGAAAGAAGAAAGTAAACCTAGACCTTGATTATTTAGTCAGCTGTATCTTATTTGAACATTAAACTAAGTCAAGCATTGCACCATTCAGTCTTTTGGAACACAGAATTTCATTACTCGTATTACAAATATTTTTACATATATACAAGCTTTTGTTCAACACTTGCAATATACAAACTGCGAGTCGGTAAAATACATAGACTCTAGATACACACACATAAATTATATGATAAGGGTGCACATCATTAATCTTTACAACAGCAAATGCCCCCTAAACTTCTCAGGCATTTAATTAGCAGTTGGATAAGATGCTTGCATAGCAATTCCACAAAGTCCTTCCTCAGCATCAACGTCTCTTTGCATTCTTATGTATCCATTCTCACCCCAACTTGTTCCCCATGAATTCTTCACTAACCAATATTGAGTACCATCACTAGTTTTTCCATAACCAATTGCAGTAACACCATGGTCTAACTCAGTTCCACATTCTCCAGTGAAAACACCGGTCGAATAGAATTGGAAA